CCGCGACGCCTTGACGAGTGCGCCTCGGAGACCCCTCCCAAGCCAAAAGCAGCCAAGGCTTGTTCGCTGAGAGACTTCCGTCGCCTAGGTCTTGGAGACGGCGTTCTAGAAGTGGATGAACGGGAATTCGATCGTCGGGAACTACGGTAACGATCATGATCGCCTATCCTCTCAATTAGCTTTCTTGCACGTAAGTCGTAACTAATTGCTACCTCCAATGGGTGACATAGCACTAGAACAAATTAAATGAGTAACAATCCATGGCCGTTATCAAACTTACGTCGATTTCCATAGCCATGTGTACGAGAGCGTTGGTAACCTTCATCTGGAGCATAGTAGTCCCCATGACGATCCCGACCACGACCGCCAGCAGAATGCGTACGCCTCACACTAGGGTCATGCGCTGTTCTCCGCTTGGCGTAGATGGCACCGCCGCCTGATCTGCCATGGTCTGTACGATGGCTACTAGTGCACGATCCTGGAGGAAAGTCTCGCTGGATCTCTTCGACGTGGGAGTCCTCGGGCTCGTCAGGGCGGACTAAATCGGTAGGGCCTCCCCAACGGCTGTTAGAGGGGCGGGAGGTTGTGTAGGACGGCTCGTAAAAATCAGCGGTTTGAGCTCGTCTGTGCTGGGTGTTGTATGGGTGGTTCTCGTAGTAGGAGGCCATGACGCAAGAGTATCGCTATTGCACTCCGGAGCCAATGAATTGTTGAAGGTCTTATTTCCGTCCCGATGGTGGAACTTCTGGAAGCTCAAGAGGACGGCGAGGGACGGGAAAAAAGCATATACTATTTTTCCTAGGGGCGGAATTTCTGGGAAGTAACATATATTTTTCAATGAAAATATACGTAGTTACATGAATAAATGAAGATAAATGAAAATAAATAAAATCAACTGATCTTGAAAATAACAAAAAAGCGGGACGAGAAAGAGGAAGAAGCCGATGGTGGGGGTTCCTGCGATAAATATAACCCGGTGGCTGTTCTTGTTGGTCAAGCCAGGGTGCAACCGTCTGCAACGGGCTGCACTGTGACGCAAAGCGCCCCGTCTTGCTGTCCTCACCTTGGCAATCAAGGGAAGGCTGTGGCGACGCAACGGCAGCAAGGCTTGGAAGGGTGAGGATTGGGCGACAAAGGAGTTTTGTTTATTGCCATTGCTGTAAAAGCAGTAGCAGCTGCAAAATACAAGGCAAAAGGCAGGGATTCTGCGGTGGCCTGCGATTATATCGTACTGCCTGGAGATGGCTATGATGGAGAAATGAAAAGTGTGTGGACTGGATGAGGATAGCCTCCCGAGCCTAGACCCTAGTCAACCCAGGCCAAGGCTGACTGCATCGAGTTTTGTATCATAGTGCCAGCACGCGCGATGAACGAGCAGACGATGCACGGGGAGCGAGAGCGGGAGAAGTATATTTATATTTGGGTTGCATCCAGGAGAATCCGGTAGCAAGATCGCGCTGTCATTCTTCATCATTGCTACTGCGTAGGAGTTAATCGAGCGGGTTACAGCTGAACGGAGTTTCTTGATCGAGGAGGGAAAATAGCGAAGGTATCAATGGATTGGGTGATTCGTCCCTCTATACCACAATGCAATGACGTCATGTGATGGGGTTGAGACTGCCCTAACCCTAGCTATTCAATCCGAGCTGGTGGGAATGCAATATACTGTACATACAGTCGGAGCTCGTCAACTGTGTGGCCTGGAGAACTACAAACATCCCACGTAGTGGACAGCGCATGCGGACAGCTAAATTCTTTGCCCCTTGAATTTTAAGGTTCCCTGTTCCCGCACCGGTTCAGTGGTACCAGATCAAAAGTTTGGATAGACTCCAACCACTAATATACGATTTAGACAAGATATGTTGTTATCCTAAATATACAGAAGGCAGCGTGGCGGGTTTCGAAAAGAAAGGAACGAGAAGGCACTCAATACGTACAGTACATCTATAAACTATTCTACACAGCAAAAAGGAAATCAAAAACAACAAGACCAAATATGTTACTGGCCAGCCAGAGAAAACAAGCCATGACCAAACTATCTGTGAAGTTGAAAGACGAAAATAAATTGGAACAACCTAAGTTCTCTAAAGGACATCATCATACTTTACAATTACAACAGCAACGAGAGCAACAAACAGAACATCAGTAGTGACAAAAAAGTAGGAAAGAAAGGAAAGAAACAAAACTGACAAGCAGAAAACTCAAGCAAATGAATAAAAGACGAGACGCAACAGATGATGAGTAAGGTGAAAAGACATTACATTATCCATTACAGGACTATACAATATGTAGAAAGGAAAGAGTAATAGATAGAAAAGAAACAAATAAAAGCAAGTCACAGAATAACCCAGATATTCACAACACTCAACAGCACACATATTCAGATGTAGAGCCACTTTTATAGTCCTCGCGTGCTTCCATTTGTAGTTTCTAATGTGTGTGTGTGTGTGTGTGTGTGTGTGTGTGTGTTGATCGAAAGCAAATGATACCGCACGCAAAAGAGATGGTAAAGAGTTACGAGCGTCGAATCACCTACCACATTGAAGCCGAGTTACACAGAGTTAGTTTTTCACGGATGAAAGAAATCAAAAGTGAGATGAGAAGTGAGAAGGATTCAGGTAAACCTTTTCTCGACCGTTGTCCTATATATGTAGCTCGCCTGTCGAAAATCTTTCACACTCACAATGCAAATTTACTTGCTGGATTCTTCACAGCCTTCGACTTTGTTTTATACATGGATTCGATTCTGATAACGCCCGCACTGGGAAATGGAAGAACAGAGGGAAATCAATGGTTGACACGAGGGGTTACAATGGTGGATGGGAAACGAAAACGAAAACAATAAGAAGGACATGAGAGAAACAAAAGGAAGAAACACTCTAACACCCAACCATTTCCCCTCACCCTCGCCGTTGCCATTCCAGCTGCGCGTTCCTATGCGGAAAATTGCTTCTATAGTATAGGATATCAAGCAGAAAAAGTAGGAAAAAATGCTAGAAAAAAAAAAAAAAAAAAACAGAAGCTGGCTCTATTGAATATCAAGCATGTCTTAGTACGTCTCCTTCATACATCATCGAGTGTAGCTGTCAATTTGTGATTTCTCCGCGGCAACTGCCAGAGTATCCAGCCCTCTGGTAATAGCGTCAGTTCGTGAAGCCGCTTGCGTAGACTCGTGTATTGAAGTATATGACCGTCCTCCATAACTGCGACTAGTGGATTGGCTTAAGGTATCATCCGGTCTACCCTCTGTACATGGGGAAGTTGGCGTTGCAAGACCGACGTAATCACCCCTGTCGCACTGGCTTTTGTTACTGCCACTCCATTCGGGTGGAGTGGTATCATCGTCGCTCCTTTTCGGCGACGCTGTACTCGATATCGACAGCCGATGTGTCCTTCGATGCTGTTTCATGTTGTCTTTTCGAGTGAATGCCTTGTTGCAAACTGGGCAGTGGACGCTCTTCTCGCCCGTGTGCTTCTTGCCGTGCCGGGCAGCGTGCCCGGAGGTGGTGAAAGTTGCGGTGCAAGAATGCGAGACGGCGTAAGGACACGGATACTTATTCTTCTTGCTGACTTTCGCTGCTCGCGTGTCTCCCGATGTACTAAGCGGAGTTGGTGGTGAGGGAGGGTCTCCAGGTTGGATCTCGCTGTGTGTAATCCTCCCAATCGACAGCTTTTCAATCGGAAAGTACTGCGAGTTACGACAGCTTGTGGGAGTATATGTGCCAGCAACCTGTGTTGTTGGAGCCCTGATGATTGTAATAGATGGAATGCTCTGGGGGCTGGCTGAGCCCGCTGTAATGGTGCATGCCTGGATCTATACGATAAATGCCAGGAGATAAGTGGGGCAGAATGACCCGGTCTGCCCGTGTATTTTGATGATGTCCACTTTGTGAAGGCCATTGACGAACCTGCTGATGGGTATATGTCACTGTCTGTGGTCGGCATTTTGCGTTTTTTATGGGTCGAACAGCAAAAGAGGGGTTGTCGTCATTGTTCAAAATAGATATAATGCCAGACTTCCGAGTGTCCATATCTTGGAATTCTTGGCCTTGTTTTGTAAGGTAGAGAACCTCTTGAATATAAAACAGCTACGCTATTCAGTCAAGGACAAGGCGACAAGGCGTCTATATCGATATATTAGAAAGCCATAACAGGTACAACAGTATGGTAGGAAAAACCCACATAAAAAAGTAAAAAGAGAACTCCAAAGTACTCGCTAAATATATAAAGCCGGTATGAGTCTTTGCTTTGTGGAACTGGTTCCGAGGGCGGTTGAAGTACAGAACTTGTCCGCCTGCAAGGCCGTATGGCACGGATTCTGGTTAGATATTAGGACCCGTGGGAGGAATGTTCTCTCTCCGGTAATTGACGAAATCTCCCGCCTGAAGGAGGCGGATTATATGGCGCAGATGGTTGAGTATGAAAGATATATGCAAATTAGATCCTAAAAAATGGGGAATTGAGGAAACAGGAGGATGATTGAAATGGCGTCGTTTCCCGAACGATATCACCAACCAGTAACGATAACGCACAATGTCAAGACAATCAAGGGATGGTAGAAAACGCCGAGGGGGTACAATCGTAGAGAACAGAGATTGTAAACCAGGCCCAAGGGAGCTGCAACACAGATGACAGAGGGGGGTTCGTGCACACTCAGGTCAAACAGCAATCATGGAACAGAAAGATAGATAGATCAATCAATAGGAGCTATGCACAGGAAGAGACACAGCGGGAAAAAGAACAGGTTGGGCTGCGAATGACTATTGTATATGCAGGCGCAAAAGTCAATACTAAATATCACCAGCCAAAACGATCGTAATTTTAAAAAGTGATATTATCAAGCAGTTATTTGGTAAGTATTATTATTTTTATTTTCAGTTTTTTGAAAATAAAAATAAAAATATAAATATAAATATAAATAAAAAATAAAACCAAGGAAGGAAATAAAAAAAAAAAAAAAAATAAGAAGGCGAGCATTTGAAGGGAAACTAAGAGCTCATATAGGATCCAGAAATTATCGGAGACGTGGAAGGGGGGGCACGGATACATAGTCCGGGGTGAAACGAGGAGCGCGGAAGATCCGAAGCCCGTCTTCAACAGGCCACGGCCAGAATCAGTCGCAAGCAGCAGGGCGGATTAGCGTTTAGTGCTGGAATAAAGTGTAATCATAATAAGAAAAGCGCACCTAGAAACAAAAGAACCCTCCTCGACGTTCTATCGAGCTGGGTTTGCGCCAGGGGAAGAGGGCTTGCGGGCTAAAAGTTCTCCTACTGCGTAAGCTTCACCCCAAGCTGATCATGGTCCAGCTATCCACCGGTCAGTCAGTGTGCTCCCATTGACCGAGAAAGCAAGCGGAAAGGAAAAAAATAACGTGAAGTGGCGCAAAGCCTGTGGG